CCTTTCCACAAGCCTCCTTTCCCCCTTAACCCACCGTCGCACTCTCAACCACCACACTCGCAGCTCCAACTCCAGTCCCACCCGCACTCCCTCCCCCCAGGCCTCGGCCCGTCGTCGCACCAGCACCCACACCCACATTCGTCGTCCTTGCCTTCGAGCGCGCTCTCGACGCCGCATCCTGGTGCAGGCGGGGGCGGTATGGGTATGAATGCGAATGTGAATATGAATGTGGGTGGGGGTGGGGAGGCGCGGATGCAGCAGCCTACGGCGGTGCCGATCGCGATGCGTGTGGCTATGCCTATTGCGCTGCCTGTGTCGAATTCAAAGTCGTCTGGGGGAGGAGGGGGAGAGGAGGGAGGGGGCGGGGTGCATCGGCAGCGCATATGGGAGGATGGAGTGGGGGAGGATGGGGTTGGGGGAGGGAGGGAGAGGGAGGCGAACCCGACTATGAATGCTCATCCTCATATGAACGCCAATACCAATGCCAATTCCAACGCCAACGTTAACATGAATGCGACCCCGAATGCGAATGCGAATGCGAATGTAAAGGGAGGTCCGATGGCGGATGCGTCTGTGAAGACGTGGGAGGGTTTGGGCGTAGAAGAGGTGGAAAAAGTGGTGGTTAGCTTGGGGACGTTTGTTTTTCCGAAGACGCCTTTTCCGTATTATTTTCCGACTTTGGACGTTTCGACGACGTCGGCGACAGCCGCAACGCAATTAAAGACAGCTGAGGCTTCGACCTCTGGACCTGCTCCTGATCTTGGTTCCGCCGCTGCATCATCGTCAGGTTCGGCTCAACAGCCGAGGGGTGGACAGGAGGGTGTGTCTGCTAATTCGAACGGAAACACCCCACGGGAACGGACGTGCAAAGAAAGAAAAAGAAGTCCAAGCGACCATCCTAATCCCCAACTCCCACCTCCCCTCCGCTCGCCCCCAACGCCCCTACCTCTGGGGCGGCGGCATCCCCTATCCCCCTCCCCCGCACTCAGCCTTCCGCAGACGGGTATACACAGACGACTCTGACATCCTCGCCTGCGCTGTGCATGCGGGGCTGTTGACGTGGAGTGCGGTGGGGAGGGCGAGGGAGACGGGGGAGGATGTGAGGGTGGTGGTGCGTGTGATACCGACGTTGAGTTCGATGGCGGGGGATGCGGTGGGTGAGGGTCAAAGTCAGGATATTGGTCTTGGCATTGGGGGTGGGAGTGGGGGAGAGGGAGGGGACGATGTGTATATGGTTCCGTGGGCGAGTCGGTTTGTGGGGGGATGGGGGGAACGGTTTTGGGGACATCCGGGTGCGGGCCCGCTTGTTGCTGTGGGGGATGACAGGACAGAATCTGATTTGGCGATGCCTTTGCAAGGGGGAGAAGAGGACGATGGGAGGGGGGTGGTTTGTGGAGGATGGGTCTGGGGGCTCGATTGCAGTGGA